AATTCCCTTCTTATCTTTTTTCCCTCCTCACTGCACTAGAGCTGCTATAAAATGGTCTTTTGTGTTCCTGAAAACATATAAACAGGAAAGTCATGACTGGATCAAACTTTTATTTATTCCTATACGTTCAAAGGTATACACATGCATGTTTGCCTCTGGACTTGTCTCAAAATGAGTAAATGAAAGATTAGCCTGAGGACCTATGGAAACAGACATGAAAAACAGGTTTATCTAAAGCAGCATGTATTTATGGAGGAAAAAGTTGATAGAATGAATTTGATACCAGATCTTTACTTCACAGAGAGTGCTACATAAAATACTGTTGGTTTAAGAAGTCTTTTGTTATTTTTTCGTATGAAATAATCTTGGTGAGAAAATACTGTTTCCATGTGTTAGATGACAGACTTCATTTCATCTTTATCCTGTAAGTCTCCAACTCTTAGCTGGTACTCCAGATAATGCTGCTCAAAGCCAGGCTTTCACAAGCACTGTATAAACTATCTTGTTGAAAACACCTGCACACATTAAAACCAGTGTCATGATAATAATAATACAAAATACCAGGTGATTGATGTCTTTATCCTTTAAGTTTTGCTGAACAAAAACCCAATAATTAATTTCACCGACCAAGAGGTTTACTGACAACTGGACATTTAGTTTCCACCTAACTGGTCGAGAGAGATAATCTCCTAATGCAGAAGAGATAACCATAATCTAAGACTTCATTGAATTTTGCCCCTCATGGATTCTTCCAATCTGCAGACCTCAAGATCTCTTCCATGTACTCGAGTAAGCCCCAGGCAATCTGGGAAAGCTTGATGAGAATGTCACTTGTTGCTGTTTATTCTTTACTTGCTGTAGACTGTGGTCAGTACTCCCTATCATCACCCTCTAAAAATAGACATTACAGCAGCAAAGTAATTAGCACACAGAAGAGAAGTAACTTGGGGTTTCTTTGTTTTAAACCCTAGGTTGGACATTTTTACTTCAATACATTAAATTAGTATCACTCACTGATGAATGAGTGATAGTAAGATCTAAAATTATTTTTCTCCCACCTTTCTGAAGAGGATTTGGATTATTCTTCATGCTGATCTTACCATAAGAATTATTAGAAGCTATTTTCATAGCGTTTTAAGCTAAATGTTTTATTAGAACTCTCTAGCTAAAAAAGAGATTACAGTTTGAAGCCCTAATTCAGGGAAAGATTTCCTTTTTTAGACAGTATATAATATGCTTGCACTTCCAAACTAGAGCTGAACTTTAAACTGTGTTTAAGCACATTTCTGAACCAAGAGCTAAAAAAACTCCCACATAATTAATCTTGTTGAATTACTTGAAAACAGAAATGATGCATTACTAATAGAAAAGAGAATAAAGTAGGAAAAAATCTTGAAACTTGGTATTCAATAGGGATTTGAAAGCAGAGAGAAGGAAAGTACAGTTTGTAGGGAAAAAACAAGTCACAAGGAAGGGACTATTAAATCAAATGAGGAAAAAGAGGATCTTATCTACTTCTTCATTTGCTCTTCTCCGGCACACTGTACTCTAGCTAGAGCATGGGGAGAAAATGCCTAGGATGACTGAGCAAAAAACTCACTAATATCTGAATAAAACTTACTTTCATTTCATGTAAAGTCCATGAACAACTTGAAAGGTATAACCTGCTAAGGGACATGGAAATTTCCCAATGGTAAAAGAATTTCAAAGGACCTCACTGCTCACTGTTCTGCAAATTTCAGCCCCATTCTTCACCATTAATGCAAGAACAGAGTGTCTGACTTCCACTTTGTAATCAAACCTATAAATCAGGTTTTGGTAGCTGTGAATAACACCACTAGAAGAGTGAGAAAAATTTTAGATGTCATTTTAACACAGTCCTTATTGAAAGCAACAGCGAAATAACCTTTCCCCTTGAAATCTCAACAGGCTTAGTTACTCTGTCTCTCAGAGAGTCACATTCTTTGCTCACACCTTGACAGTTTTCAAAGGAAAATCAAAAAGATATAGCAGTGCAAAACTGTCCCCTCTCTGCATACAATATGTGCAATAGTTTCCCTGGTGCTGTGTTCCCACTGTCCCAGAAGAATCAGGATGGCACGACATTCAGCAAGAATTTCTCAAATTAGGTTCTACTTAGTGATCTGCTGCCTTCCAAAATGAGACTTTTTCAGTCCCATCAACCAGCTTATGGTGAGCAACAGAAATAAAGACCATTGTACACTACACACAGCTGAGCCATGGAAGTTTTGGCAAAGTCAAAAAACTCAGGAAAATTGATGAAAGCATTTCAGAAGTGTGGAGAACTGTGGAGTACTGCAGCAAAGAGCACACAGAAAGTACCTCTACAATTGCCACAGCCTTCTGTTACAGCAGAAAACGCCAGACAGCCACAGGGATTATGCCAGCAATGCCAGCTTGTGCTCTCCAACCTCCTGAGATGGAGGGAACCCAATGTCCAGAAATCAATTTACACCACCTTGAATTCCTTAGCAGAACAATTTTCTTCCATATTATCTTTATAGAGCTACACCAAAACAGCTGCTATGCCACGTGAAATGCTTTTCTTCCTTCTATTAAGCACGATTTAAATGATTCATTCAATTATTACTTTTGTATTCAAAGATGGCTTATTTTCATGCAGATTTATGTTCTGTTATGCATAGAGGACATTCTTAATTGTGCTGAAACAACTGCAAATTTAATTAAAGTTTGCCATTCCAAGCATAAAATAGATTAAAGAAAATGCTGACAACAGTAAAATAAATATTCAACTATTTAATTTAACTCAACATTTATTTTTAATCCAAACATCAAAATAACCTTGTTTCTAATTACAATTTCATGACAAAATGTCTTGAAGAGCATTTGTCTCTATTTTCCTCCAATCTGTTCAGCAGAAACACACTAGCTTATTTATAAAACTGTTGATTAATAAATCTGTTCCAGCTGTATTACTGTATGTTACAAAGAACACAGTCTGATGTATGTAAACAACCATTATAATTTTAAAATCCCAAACTCTTGACAGTCTGCAAAAGCAGAAATCCCATACAAACACATAACAGGGCAATTACAGACCTAAATCTTAACAATGAAGGGAATAGAAGGGTCAAACATAAGTAGTAAAGTCCAGAGGTCTGTGACAATCTATAGCAGATGGTGAGATCAATTAAATGCCTACAATAAGTTACTTGTGGTTCCTTGAACTGGATATTATTAGAGTCAACCCTCTGTTGTAACACACGACAACCAGCAACTCCTCAGTTTCAAAAAAGTAACACTCAAAAGAGATATGAAGAAAGAATCTGGCCTGATCCTCATGAAACTAATTTAAAACTCTCAAATTACATTTCTCCAACAGATTTAAAGGAAAACAGAAGTGCCTTACCAGCCTAACAAATATTCCAAGAATCAGAAAATTTGGAAAAAAAAAAAAAAGGTTTTTTACCAAATCACCAGCACAAACCATAGTAGGTGTCTGGTTTGAAAGCCATAAGCCCAGCTGGAGTAGTCAAGAGTAAGCAACACAAACCTCATCCAAAGCCATAAGGATTAGCACCACAAACTGCTTGTTTGCCTGCCCATTTCTCATTATAATCACTTCTTGTCAATCTACATGAGCAAAGGAAATGACCAGACAGAAAACTTACATGCTACAAACTTTTTTCCTCTATATAACTTGAGTGCAAAAGGATGGAAAAGTTTCTTTTTGCAATGAAACCAAAAAATGAAATATAGGAAGGGAGTTCTACTGCAAAGGGAGGGATAGATCCAGCGTGCACTGAGAGTTATTTGCATGCCAGTGGACCATCTTTATTGTGGGGCAGGGGCTCATCCCTCATGCCAACACATTTAGATGTAATAAAGTGTGATGGATACTTTCACACTTCCCTCATCTATCCAAATCAGCCCTGTATGTTACTACTAAGAAAATCTCAAGCAAAAAACAAACAAACAAACAAACACCCCAAATCAAAGTTTCAATAGAACAAAGGAGGAATTTAGGCAATTATGAGGGATTGTTAAAGTCTTTCACAAAATAAGAAGCAATCACGAAGGGAAACAGCAAGAAGCAAGAATACTTCAGACAGGAATCAAATTGGAGATCTTTATCACAAAAACAGTGAACTAAACAACAGCAGCTCTTTCCTAATCATATATGCATACTGTAAAAAGAGTTTCATCTGGAATCCCCTAAAACTGGTACATGAAAACCCTACTTGAACACAAGTAATAATACAAAGTTAACAAATCACTTTACATCAACACCTTTAGAACAAATAGACCCAGCTTGTTTGAATAATCACTGAGTCCATCTATCCACAATCGTTCTTTCATGAAGAACAGTTCATATTTTAATAGCACTTTTTTATACAAAACACCAATATGCACAGAGAAAATTCATAAAACTCGTTTATTTTTTGTGTGTGTGTTCTAAGATTTATTTTAGAAAACTCTACATGGTATTATTTATCAAAACTCTTTTTGACAACATAATAGCCTACATAATCTCTAAATACTAGAAGAAACAAAGGGTATACTGCATTCTATAGACTTTCACACTATCAGGCTTCAGACTACTGAAGCCAACAATAAAACTTCCATGACATGAATCAGCCTAGATTTATTTATTTTTTTTTTAGTATAGTCCATAAATGACCTGTACAGCCATTTAAAACAGAAAAAACATCAAAAGATGGGCTTTCACATAAACAGCAAACAACAGAGCTATTTAAGGGTCATGAAACCTCTGCTGCAAAAAGGCAGCAAGGCCCTTCAGAGGAACCATGGCAATTTCCCTCCCCTGAGAACCTTGCAGTACTTCCATACACACTCACATACTTCCCCATCACTGCATCAGAACGTTTAGGGAAGAGAAATCTAGTACATGATAGAAATCTAGTACCTATATTATGTGGGATCAGAGATGAAACATAGAAAACAATGGTGTCAGAGTTTCAACTTAGAGGCTTTTTGATTAATAATAGTTGGCTTACCTGTTTAACATCATAAGCAAGAAGAACAAATCTTAAGTCTGGTGAAACAGAGTATCTTGATGCTTTGAATGTTACCTGCAATGAAGTAACAATAAAAGTGAGTTTGCTACAAGAAACTTTTTTTCCAAATTTTCTTACAACTCATTTAAGACTTTCCCATTCATAAGACAGATTTGGTTTAGAACACTGATGTAATTTTCACAAAAGAAGGACTCAAATAATTCTTAGCCTAATTAGCTGGTATCAGTAGAGTGGCAACAGATGAATTTGGCTTCAACACTAAATACTAATTAAGAAGCTGGTGAGTTTTTTATCATTACTACAAGCACTAAGCTCAAGGATAACAGCTGTAACCAATTCATTTACAGAGGATGAAGGCAGACAATTTGGTTGGTATGTACTTCAGGAATGATTATAGGAGAGAGTCATAACTAAGTTAAGCCTTAAAGATAACACACGAGAAAAAGAATAGGTGTGCAATATATCCCTGTTGCTTTTCTTTTAACACAACACACGTAAAGATTTTGCAAGACAACTTGCACTGAAGCAAAAGTCTTTCTTATAAGAAAGAAAGTTCTTAGCAGAGAGCAAAGTGAAACATAAGGTAGCACTATAAAACTAATAATGCTTTACATCTACCCAAGACTACATGACACCCAATTGAATTCAAGGCTGTAATTTAATCAAGGGGTAATGTTGATGTCAGAAATAATTTAATGCATCTAATGCATGAGAAAGATAAGAATGTGCTTTAAAGGCCACTGAAGGAAATAATTTCAAATTAATCTCAAGACATCTATTTGCAGAAGGAAAGAAAAAGGGAGAAGTGAAAAATCCAGATAAGAATTCAAAAAGTAGGATAGAAAAAAATAACTGAACCACAAAGGGGTAAGATGAAAACAAATAAATGAATATCCATGCAGAACAACTTCTATCCACTATTCAAAGAAAAGCTTTCCCTTATTTTATTTCTTAAGCATTTGTTCTGCTTAACCTAATCCCACTGCTAAACTAATGAATTCAACAGGGGTTTAAGGCACCCAAAACAGAAGTCACAAACTAATACATTCAGAGTAGCTAAGGAGTAATTTCCAACAACAACAACAAAAAAATCTTCCAATCAAGTGAAAAGATGCTACATTTTGATATACAGATTAAACTCAGATTCCTAGGTATTAGAATCAAAGTATCCGAAGAAATCAAAGGGAAAAAAATTAGTTTTGGAGATAAATGGTATTAGTTTGATGCAGCAGTGTAACAGTATCAAAAGTCAGTAGATAAATCTTCAGACTTGAGGAAAGAAGAGGGGAAAAAAAATAACAAAACACCAACACCTCAAAGCATCCTTTTGTGTCTACAAAGCATTCAGAATAGATTTCTTCTGTGCCCAAACTAGCTTTTATGAGTTAATCATCTTTAAGCAGAAACTATGTTAATGCTAATCTATGAATAACATTCCCTTTTCCTAGCACTTCACTGAAAACATTTTTAGACATGAAATTTCTCCTCTGTAACAGTATATTAATTACTGCCCCCCTACCTCAGTTTTCAGCAATATATAACCCAGACAACTTTCCAAATTCATTCTCAGGGCATGCAGTGCTTACCATTTCATACATTTAGTAAGAAGCTTCAGTCCCTGATTATGCCACCTTACAAGTAATGAGGCACTTCATGAAGACAGCTGAGTAGCTCAACTGCAAGCTATTGGCAGTTTGAGGCAACACCAGCAAGAACTACTTGCATGTTCTATATCCAAGTACAGAGTGTTGTGGGTTTGGGATTTAAAAATCATTTGAATCCTACTGAAGATGACCTTGTTCATTCAGCTTGCACTCACCTGCAAAATTCTGTTTGCCTCTAGAAATATCTCCGACACGTGATGTACATGCAGTGCCAAAAGATGTATTTTTTTAATTAAAGACAATAGGTTTGGCAAAGTAGTTTTCTTTTTGTTGGTTATAATGGCTTTTTTTCTTGGTAAAAGCAGTATAAAGCTTCATACTTTTTAATATTTTACTTCAGAAATAAGAAACTAAAAATTAGACCAGCAGAAATCATGTACTCATTCCCAAAGTTGATAGCAATGCTGATTTCTTTACATTATTATAAAAATATAGTTAGCTCATTTAAGTTGGATTTACAATCAAGCCTTTAATGAAATAAATGTTTAATTCTAGTAGAACTGCAAGAGATTTAAGTAATTTAAAGTCACTTAAAGGGTTAAAATTTCCTTAGAGTTCTGCATTTGGGGTTGATTTCTGGTAAAGACAAGCTCAATTTTGGCAGTTAATTCAGAAACTGCCTACTTGTATGCACAGAAGAAGCCCTTCTAGATTAACGGCAGGAAATAAAATCAGCTGACTCCTTCTTCCTGCCTTACTTGACAAGTAAGCTCAGGATCTGTGAGTCACTAAAACAAAAGACATTTCACTTTTCCCCCATAACCCTGTCTAAGGTATTTCATCAATACCTTCATCAAGCAACAGATGCCTTACTCCACGAGTGAGGAGACTAGATCAGCTGGTGATGAGCTTAAAAGAAAGTTTCAGTCCCTGATGTAGGAGGTGAGATCTATGCCACTTAAGCTCCTGGGAGATTATCTATTGAGACATTCACTACAGGGATTAGATACATTTATTCATTAAAAAGAAGTCTGTGAAGACTCTGATCCCAAGGGTTTGTTCTCTTCTTGGGAGAACATATTTTTGAGTTTGAAAGAAAGTGCTGGGAAAATATCATATTGGAAACACATTGGGAATTAAATTAAATCTGGGGGATGGTTCTTCTGTTACCTCATCTGTGTATCCACAATCTCTCGAGCTTCTTGCTTTGTCAGGAGCTACTGAGCCTACATTCAGGAAGACAGACCTAAATGCTGCCCCTTATGACTATGCCTCTATGGTTTAGCTGTGCTTGATCTCTTAAGAAATGTAGCTGTGGACAAACAAGCTCTGAAACAGGGAGAAATAGAGCTGCCTAATTAGGCCCAGTCCAGGGATGCAGAAGCAGGGCTGGTTTCCCTCTGCATCACTGCACAGTATCAGCTAGTCAGGGGACTGGGGGTGATTCAACACTGTGCTGCATTGTACATTCCATACATACTCTTTTATCCCTTTCCAAACCACAATAAGAGAACAAAAGGAGAAAAGAAAGGTAATTTCCTTATTTCCCTATAGCTTTACCTAGCCACATCAGGACTTGAAATCCCTGTGCAAACCATCAGCTCTATGCAACTAGAAAACATTTTGACTAGAGAAATTGCTGTAATCCTTAAATTAGTTACATTTCCTGCTGCTGCATAATTCTGAGCCAAAAAACCCCAAAAAACCAAAAACAAAAAACAAACAAACAAAAACACACACACACACAAAACAAAACAAAACCCAACAGTTTTTTAAGCACTTGGACACTGTTTTCCCTGCTTAATTCACAAACCTGCCATCCGTTTTTCCTATGCTGCTGCAGTTGACATCACTTTTTCAGACATGAATGATCCTGTATCTGATCTTTTATTCTTCACCCAACCAAAACACCCACGGACTGTATAATTAGGCCTAGCCATATGAAACATTGCATCTCTAGGTTTCTTTGAAATATCTCACGTGATAAAGAGTTTCAACTCTTCTCCTGACAGTCATGCATGATGTGATGATCCCATGGACAAGCAATGACTGCTATTCTCACTGTCACCATAGATTGCAATGTTAAAATCCAAATGGAGGCAAAAGGACACAGAGCATTTAAACAAACTTTTGCCCTCCACCTTTCCAGCTTCCTTCTTTCATCCACATTCAAGTATTGCTAAATCATAGTTTTGCACGGAAAGAAGAACTGGCTTTTCTTCCACCTTTCCATATGGAGGCTTAAAATGGAACACAAATTTCCAGTGAACAATATATTCTCAACTTTGCTTTCCTATGTCAATATTTTGCATTGATGACTTTTTTTTCACTTTGCATTTTCTACAGTTTCTGCTGTTAACAGAAATACCAGTTATGGGTATGTTTAGGAGAAGTTTTAGGCTTGGTTTAGGCTCCATATCCTCAGCAAGGACCCCGAAATATCAGCTCCCTTTTATTTCTGCTGTTTTCTTAAAGCCTGGTTCTGAGTTACTGATGTACTGGCTACTCCCTTCATCTTTATTCTTTCACCAACTATAAAATGTTGTTTTCACTATTTTTGTGGATTTTAAATACTATAACATTTAAATCAGTGCCTTATTCATAGTCTTTCAAAAATATGCTGTAGAGCAGACAGATGTAGTATAGTGTAACCCAGAGTTTTAAGATTGTATTTGTAATATCTCAAATACTTTATAATATTCTCTTTCCATAGTTTCAGTTGGATAGTTTTAAGTGAAATAATAGTCACATCAGTTTTTAATCAGTTAAAACTGATTAAAAGCAATTTTCAGAGTTGTTGAGCTTATTTGTTCGTTTTGGATTTTGTCTTTTAGTTGTACCCCTCCTCCTGTCTAAGTTTCTTGTGCTACTATTTTCCCCAGAGACTTCCATCTTCCACACTCCTATTATTATCCTTCTCCAATTATTGTTTAGTGCTCTCTTTACACACATTTAGGCTGTAAAATTTTTCATTATCCATCCAGGATAAAATATTTTGAGACCTCTGGAATGTAACTTTAAAGCTTGGTGGCAATACTATTACTTAGGGAATTATACATCTCTGTATCACACACCTGCATCTGTATCAGAATTTTAACTTAAGGGTATAGCAGGATATCCCTGTGTTGGAGTTCATCAGCATTTACAGGTGTTCAGCTCAGCTTATCAGACAGGTATTGACCAAATGGCAACACATAGGAGGAGTCAGATGGGACAGAATTACAGTGGCTGCAAGACTAGGAGCCATTTGGACATCACAGTTCTCTGGGGTGGCACCTGGAATCAAGGGATTAATGGGATTCTCCTTTATTATCAGTGCTGCGATTGAAAGGAGATGGACAATGGGGAGTCTTGATGAGAGAGCAGCTGAGAGTCGAGCCCAGCATAAAGGTAAGGCTTGTAGCAGTAAAACCAGGGAACCAGAGAAAGAGAGTCTGGTTGTAATTAGAA